CCTGGTTTTGCCTTTACCAACGAAACGATACCGGCTTCCGCAAAGTATGTGCATGGTTATCCCCCAGTTTGTGTTGTTATTATCAATATCTAGAAAATACAGCATCAATCCCACAAGTACCAGTAATTAGCTGAATCTCAAACTAAACTATAGCGTATGCGCCAAGATGCTAAAATTATTAATACAAAAGAAACATACAGCCTTGAAAGCTTAAACAATAATTAATTTTCAATTGCTTGCTTGTTCATACATGTAACACAACCAAATTCAAAACAACCAAACACAACACAGAGTTGTGGCATGATAAGAGGGGAAACTAAACTGTAAAACGATCATACCGGCCTCCGCAAAGCACGTGGTGGTGTAGTATCAACAAAAAAAAAATTTACCGTTCAAACAAAATATATTACAATCCAAACTACAGCACAAGTCTTAAAATAGTCTACATTGGCATGCCTAGTTACAAGTATTGACAGCTATTTAGAATGTACGACTTTGACAGGTATTTGCGTAACGCCTTCAACATACACTTCAGACAGCTATAAGTTACACGGATTGTTACACGTGGTTATCCCCCAACATGGCTGACCCCGGTTTTTAATTTATGCTGACGTCACGTACAAACAAAGAATACCTGTGGCTCGGGCCGTTTTCAGTTAATATGGCGGAATCAAGTAAGAACCGCCTTCCTTCGGGCCACGACGAGGACTTTGTGGAAGCAGTTGACGAAGATTTTCAGTGCCTGATATGTCATCTGACGCTAAAGGAACCAGTTCAAACGAGATGTGGCCACAGATTTTGCAAAGGATGTCTAGACGAGCATTTTAGAAGGTATATGACCTAAAGATAAACACCATAAGGAAGTGATCCACCCACACTGGTGCATTTAATCTTATCGTGCTATATTTATCAGTGAAACGTCTTCGGTAAGTTCATATGTTCGTAGACAATTTGGTTGCAGTGGTAATGGGGACCATGTTAATTTACTGAATCATGCAGTTTCGATGCACTCGCCGGATTGGTTTCAAACTGTTCATAAAATTTGTTCTTCGCTTTCACAGTTGCTTTGCACTTATGCATTTTAATGAATATTTACCGCTACGAACGTCTTCAGAAGCATCTTCCGCGCATATTTCAATATTTTGGGAATAAAGAAAGTGGAAGTTAAATGATTTGATAAAATTTCGTCTTCATTGTTATCTCTGCTGTATGTAAATGATTTGCATTTTTAAATGTTCCAGTGTTCTGGATTTCCGCCTACTTTCAGATGGCA